TTTCAAAAGTACCGGTTTGGCACCGGTATCGGATAAAACCTAAACGATACCCATCCCTACATGTGACCTACTGATATCACCCGATAGAAAGTTGGTGTCTGCCACCTACAGAGGACAGAGACATCCCGTCCCAGGCGCCTCATCATCACTCACATCGGCACTTACAGCCTTCGTGGAGTCCCTGTGTCGGGTGCTTGGGTGGGTCCACTTGGAGACGATTTGGCTTAGTTGGAGACTCCAACGCTCATGTGGGCACCGACAATGAGACCTGGAGGGGCATGACTGGGAAGAACAACCTAGGTTTATCCACCCAAGCTTTAGCTCGGTTTGGAAACAACAACCAAGGCTTTCTGCCTCCCTGATTGTCAGTAACACCACCGCACTGGCGTTCCTTACCACTGCCACCAGCTTTGTGGAAGCGATGCAGAAGACAGGGTAACCGTGGAGGTCGCCTCTTCAATCTGAGAATCTGGATTTCTTGTTTTCCCCATGAGCTTTGCGCCATTCGTCGATCCTGTCCGTGACTCTTGGTGCCGTTGTGTGCTTTGGACCCGGTGGACTCCTGGTTGGTTCTTCTTGTGGGATCTCTTGAGAAGAGTTCTGCAAAATCCCCTCATCTTCGACATCTGCATTGGCACGGAGTGGACTGAACGAACCTCCGACCAGCAGGGGCGGATCTAGAGAAATTTTCTTAGGGTGGCGTGAGGGTGGCAAAGAGATTTTGCCACCCCATTTGATTTAAGCCTTTTTTTCCCTGTTAAAAGGAAAAAACATTTGATTTCCTGCCATCTGATCCAACTCACCAGCTGGATTAGATGGCAGGAAGTTTGTTAGCTCGACCTGGTAGACCCAAACAGGAAGTGAAACCTCTCCCCATTCAGGAGCGTTCATGGACATGGAGTCAGATGATGGTCAAAGCTTGCAGAGACAACCACTATTATCTGTGGTCAGATAACAGTGGTTGTTCCAGTTCATGAACTGGGAATAGTCGTTAACCTTGCAGAAACCCAGGAGTCACCTTTGACCTCTGTTCTTATACAGATGTTAAAAATGTTTTTTCTTCACAACTTAAAATTCACCAGGATCAGATCAGGTTTGTGTTGCTACTGGTTTATGAATATAATCCAAATAAGGTTTAGTGTAAATCTTTCACTCCCCTGTTTCTGACGGAATCGGAGGAACCAGCTGAAACACCACAGAAGAAACGCCAGACAAGTCGCTCATTCGAGCTGTTGTTAAAGGAGCGTGTCAGTGGAGAATTGTACTCAGTTTAAACTTATATGTAAGTTATATATTTATATCATATATTATATAATATGATAGAATACTGCATGATGACCTTTTGATGA